AAACAGTTTTTGATTTAAGGGTTAGGTCATAAATAGGGTTTCGAATTTTTGCTCAGGTCATAAATAGGGTGGGGAATATCGCAGATTTTGGTCATAAATAGGGCAAGGATTTGGGAAGCAGGCTGCACACCCCCACCCGATTTTTCTGGGAGTACCCCTCCACCCTCCCCCCGGGATGTTAATGTTAACTGGCTGCCTGGCTCCGCTGGCCCCTATGGTTATTCCAGACAGCTAGTACTCTAATTTTTACTTTTAATATTTTCATTGTTGTAATTTCTTATTTTGAGCAAGAGTGAGTGCAAATAAAGATTGATTGACTGATTGATTAACAATATCTCTGGTATCAAGGCAATTTCATTTCAAAGAAAAATCGCATCCCACAAATAGAAACAGCTTATCGAAACGGGAAGTGACGGGGAAGAAAAGTAAACATAAGACACTAGGCACAAAATACGGGGTGACCTATAGATTAAAAATGAGATACAGACTTCAAATTTTCAGCAATTAGCTATGAACTAACCAAGTTATCATTAATTAAAAAATTATGTCCAAAGCTGTTATAGCGCCTGCTCTCTGTAGTCTGTTTTCTTTCTTGGTAAATTAAAAACAAAACAATAGTTGTCTAGCATAATGTAGTTTTTTTGTGTGAAATGGTCATACGTGACGTTGAAGTTAGAACCGTCTTGTATGTAGAGCATGCTGTAGTACCATGTCTCATGCTGCACCTCATGGAAGTACTTCTCAATAGGACCCACACTGGGGCTGCTTAATAGCTTTGGTTTGAATTGTCACACACTAAGATTTCATCCACAGACTTAAAAGTCAGAACCACCTTGTACAGCTTAATAAACAGTACCACATGAAAGTACTGCTCAACAGCTTTCATTTGAATGGTCACACACTAGGGTTTCATCCACAGACTCAAAAGTTGGGACCACCTTGCACAGCATAAAACAGTACCACATAAAACTACCGACTGAAAGTACAGGAAGGTCACACATCTGCTGTTATATAAGTTAGAACACCCTAGTCTAATTCTTACCTCCTCCAACTATAGCTACACCGCACTCTAAGAAAGTCTTGTCACTGGGGACGATGGTCGCGGGTGCCTGTGTGGTCAGTAATGCGGTAGTTGTTGGTGCTTTAGTGGTCGGAGGAGCTTTAGTCGTCGGAGCTGCCGTTGTTTGACCAGTCGTCTTTCGAGTGGTAACAGGAGTTGTCACCTGAGTTGTAGGTTTTGCAGTTGTTAAGGGTGGCTTCGTAGTTGTAGGTTTTGCAGTTGTTGAGGGTGGCTTCGTAGTTGTAGGTTCTGTAGTGGTTGTAGGTTGTTGAGTGGAAGGACCTGTCGTGGGTCGAACAGTTGTCTCCTGAGTTGTCTGTTTAGTTGTACCAAGAGTTGTCTGTCGCCCAGTTGGTTTGCCTGGAGAAGCAGTGGTTGCCCCTTTATTTGTTGTTCCAGCCTCAGTAGTTGCTCTTTTTGTGTTTTCAACACCTGGTGAAATTAACAGAAGCTCCTAGTTTAAAATCCCTATATAAGGTCTTACTCCTAAGCAGGAGCCATAATCTGTCCTAAGTAAATCATTCTCAAGTTATTTTTGGACATGGTATTTGGTTCTCCAGCGGATAATTTTAACACGTGCGTTTAGCGTACTAACTGCCGTGAGTCGCTCAGTTAGTTTGACTGACGTTGTTTCTTTACCAGAAGCAATAGATTTCTCTTTAGTTTTTGCTGTTGTTGTTGTAGCCTTAGCACTTGCCGATATTTTTTTGTGTTCTCGCCACCTGGTGGAGTAAACAGAACCTCCTCGATATACATGCGATATTTCTTAGTTGCTCGATTTCCGTCACTCTGTCGAGTCTGGTCTACGTTTCTTCCTTTCAAGAAAACGGCTGGCCTACAGTCCAGCTGGGTAATTAAGCAAGTAAGTAAGATCCTAAATTTAAACACGATGAGAATAAAAGCATTACATGCTTAGGTACAAGCTAAGTTCCTGGTAAGGGGATGTGAGTGTTCAGTAACTTCGGGTCAGTCTTGTGAAAAACTGCCTCGTGTAATTAGCCAATCAAATTCTAGGATTCAGGAGTTCGGACAGTTGAGATGCTTGAATAAAAATAAATGAAGCGTATTGTTTCGATCTGGGGTTATCATATTTGTTGCTCTTTTTATTTCTTAGTTTTCCCTGCGTTCATCTCCTATGTTTTAATTTCATCTCTTACTTTGTCCATGCATGAGACTCGCTATGGCAACAAGAGCATGGTAAGCAGTGGAATCGGTTATTTACTTCTATATTTCAGCGAAAAAGTAGCCCTTACGTGACATTTAATTTCAATAAACCATGATTGGCTAATTTAACCCACAGAAAAGACAGATTGAGGCCATTTAGGTGAAAACGCAGAGGTTAAGCATGTCTAAATTAGTGCTGCGAAATTAAATGTCACAATCAATTTAAATTTAGCTTTGCTTGGCTCGTTGGACTCATTTGCAGTGACTTCAACGGCTTGTACAAGCATGTTATGGCTTCTTTTAAGGGTACACGAGGTAGATAGCACTCTCAGTACGACGTGTGTGTGTTAAAGACTTTGCACAAAAATAGCGGGAATGTTTTTGGAAAATCGGTTAAATGTGTAAATTGTGAAAAAAGGATAACCTTGTTTTTGTTGTTGTTCATTTTTCTGTTGATGTCAAGTTAAATAATGCACGGTTGTGATAAATCTTCAAATTGATCCTGGGCTCTCATCTCTGTATCTCTCGGTATTAATTATTTTTTCTTTTATTTTAGTGCAGGGCCCCATAAGCTTATAGTTTTAATCTTTACCGTGGATAAATAAAGTTTTGATTTTTGATTTGATTTGTATGAAAGTCCTGGTCATTTTATGTCCCATTATAAGGTTCGCAATTATTTCAAGCCTACCTTCAAGCAAAGCACAAAAGATTACAACGTTGAGGAACATCTGTAAGTCAACTAATGCATCCTTAAATCGAAATATTTAAACATTCACTACTGTTTACGACTTCGGCCAGGCTAATCACAATGATTCCTAGTTTACCTTTCTTACAAGTGTATGGATGACAATCACTACACCGCACGTCATTCCATTCGTAGTTGTATTTGACACCAAGTGCATG